AGAGAGAGAGAGAGAGAGAGAGAGAGAGAGTCGAGTGTGCATTCGTTACGATCGGACCGCGCGTACGGAGGCGAAAATCTTCAGAATACGTGGAAATTCGTGGAGGAGAACTGAAGGAACGCGTTGGGATGAAAGAAAAGATGAAAAGATCCCTTCTTTCTTCTTTTCACTTCCCTGCTTTTTTCCCCCGATAGGACGATCGATCTCTCTTTCGTCATATTTCCCTCTATACGCCTGTCATGCACATCAGTGCCGGTGAAATTAATAAATCTGAAATGGATATATTAAACCGTTGGATAATGACAGTGTAGATAGTAGCACTGCGGTCAGCATACTCGCAGACAGGCGCCATTCCATCAGTGATTCTCAATTCGTTACGGTTCCTTTCTGCGTGTTGTGTTCGGAGGACAACAATTTCGAAACGCGTGCACCGAACGTTTCAGAAGAGCGATTTGTTCGTGTCATCAGATGCCACAATTCGATCGGTCCTCGCCGTTCGATTTATCCTCTTCGTTCGTTGATTTATCGCCGGCTCGATAAAGCGAAAGAAGAGAACACACACGTCCGTTCGTTGCGAAGTGAATTTCACGCAAAAGTTGTGGAAAAAACTGGCGGACAAGCCGGCCGATAATCGAGTTGAAAGGCCGAATGGTCGAATCGAAAGTTCGACGTCGGAGCGTGCAATGAGAGAAGGACGAAATGCACGGAGCATTTCGCAGATGATCTAATTTGATCGTTCTATCGATAGATCCGTTCATAGTGGTTGATTGATCAGCCGCCAGCCACAGTGTCGATCTAGAAAACCAGTTTGTCGTGTTCCTGACTCGAACAGCGAAGATATTAACAGCACAGAAGTGATCGGTGCTACGTTGCAACGCGAATGCATTTAAGAACTATTACAGTTACATAACAATTCGATGGGTATTATCGTCGTGCTCTACCTATAATATCGTAATATTAGATCAACTCCGATCGTGTCGGGTTACCTTACGCTACCTTACGCAAATTCTCATTTCATCGTGCAACGCCGAGCGTATATTTCTTCTTCTTTTTCTTCTTCTTCTTCTTCTTCTTCTCGAACGTCGATTCGCCGAGAAACATCAACCCCTGTTCTTTCTTTCTTTCCAAAAATCACTTTCGAAAATCTGAACATTATTATGATCACGATCGTCAAAGTATCCGAGCAATGGATTATTCGTTATATCTATAAATATCATCAGAATAATTATGTTCTGTATGTTCAAGAACCATTATATTTTATCGACGTCGATCAGTCGTGTCGTCGTAAACTCGTTCATCACTGATAAATCCGTTGAGTTGTTCGCTGTCTTGGCTGATCGTCGAAACACTCTTATTAGCTGCCGCGAGAAGAAGAAAGTTTCTGTGCGCGGTTTTCGAGGCGA